ATTGATATACCACAGAAAATAAAATTAAATATTTCTGTATTTTCAAATTCTTGATTTGATTTATTACTAGTGTTTGTTAAACGTTGCCAATTCAACCAAAGACGTTCATTAGAAAAGAGAATAAACATATGTCTCAATAATTTCCGGACGGTCCTAGTATAGTTCAAACGTCTTAAATATAAAGAAAATATTAAGACATTGGAAAGGTAATTATCTCCCACCACTAAGTCGTTTAACAGTTCTGAAAACTCTTTTATTGCCAACATTATATCATAATTTTGCTTACCTTTCAAATTCCTCTGATTCACAGCTAAAAGATTTACAAAACACCCTTCTTCTTTGTGAGGGGACGTAACACCTTCATACTGGAGACAGGTGTTTATACTAAGGTCAAAGATGACGGTTTTAGGTTGATTAGTATTTTAGAGTTTCTTATGTCATTTAAACTTGTATGGATGAAAACTATCACATTACAAAGTAATAATTTACCTTCAGTCCTAGAGTCAGGGTGAAATATTGAGAAAACGAACAGTATTTAAGCTCAAAAGTCCATTCAAACAGTACAAATCAGAAGCAGAGCAAACACTGACCTCTCAAACACAAACATCAGAGGTGGGATCAGGTGCCATGGAGGAGTGAGCATCCCCTGCCGACCGGTCACACTTGCCCTGTGTTCCTTGTCGTGATTGAGAAAAACGGAAAAATCCGTAGACAATCCGTAGATAACTCAATGTGTAAATAATGGGTTTACAATTAGAATGAAAAACATCAGGCAGCATTTGACTTAATGATAGATTGCATTTGCTGACAAGGTCATTGTATCGACCGGTGATGACTTGAAACGAGACTGCTGATTATCTTATTTCATCAATTTGTTTATAAAAGCTTGTCTCGTTTTAGAAATTGTTCGTACGTAGAGCATGCTCTTGCTCTTGTGTATCGAATCATAGTAACGCCACAGTACATAATTAATTTTTATATCTCAAAATAAAACTCCAAATTATGTACCGTTTTTCAGTTTCCAATGCTAAGCATACGTAGATTTACTATAATTAGGGCCAATTGTTTGGCTTGTACAACAGTTTAAAAACCACAAGATAATGATAAGATAAATTAGATGTATATTATGGAGAGATACAAAACATATATTCGAGCAACGCGTTGTCAGACCCTAATTGATAAAACGTAGAGTTAAAGGCAAAGGAAAGTGTTTTCTTCCTCTCATGTAGAAGTTTTTGAATAAATTCTGCTTCGGAAGAATATAAATTAGTGCCCACCGAAGACTACATAAATGTCGCCAATGAGATCTCCAGCATTCTATAATTATCAGCTTCAGAGTATATTTGTGTATAATTAGAGTGATTTTTAACGAAGTAGTTTTTTGATGACCATTCATAAGATACGAGCATATCCCAGTTCCCTTTTTATTGAAGAAGCAGTTAACTATAATATCTTAGAGCCTACTTTTTTTTTTAAATTTACCGTGAGGAATAGTCGTATAAATGTAGAAAAGTCGTACGTTTTGATTTTATTTAGATAAAAACGAGTGATTTTAAATCATGTATTTGGTAATGAATAATGATGAAAAATTAAAGATAGATCCCTCAAAAGAGTGTTATATGACTCCAAACTGCGCAAGTGTTCTAATACACAATTTTTATGCTATTTCATCTGATACCAATAATTGCAAATATAAAGATGAAAGTTTAATTGTGTGACCTACCAGAATTTCCTCTACCCTTCAATGTACATACAATTTACATTTTTATAAACAAAGTTATTTTAGAAAACACTTTGAACTTGATGTTACTGGTACAGGTACTATACATTATTTTCAGATGCTATGAGCTTATATTTGAATAATTATAAATTCGTATGTAGGTGTGTGTGTGGGGGGTGGGGGGTGGGGGGGGTGTTATGTTTTAATAGTACATATAACTATTGGAAACAATTTTATGCATACTTGATATCTATTAATTCTTCTTATTACTATTAAATCATTTTTTAATTGCGAATTAATTTTTACCATTGATGTATAAAACTTACAACACTGTATAGTGATTCATAACCGCTGTGTGTTTTTCAATGTATATAGTAATCTCTGCGTTAATTCGGTCGCGAAAAGACCACGAATATAAGCACTTTAGGTAAGTTTTGCTCCACAGTAAATTTGATATGATGGAGAACCCTGGTTGTGACTGTTCCTTCAACAATCGCCGGGCACTGGAAGTGAAAGTCACGGGTCCTTCAGATGAGCTTTAAAAAAAAGAGGTCCCGTGTCACCGTAGGCTTGGCACATTAGATCCCTCACTGCTCAATGGCCCTAAGTAGTGCCGAAAATAGTTCTTTTAAAGTCCTTCACCGGTATATGGTGACGTCTCTTTACGGGTGAAGAATGCTCAAATGGTACGTAAAACAACATACAATCAATCAATCAATCTAATTTGCGTCTTTTGTGCTATAGATTATGACAGTCTGTTTTTGTTGTTTTTTTTTTTTTTTTTTTTTTTTTTTTTTTTTTTTAAATAAAGTGAATACAACACTCAGCAAACACAGTATTATCAACAGAAATAAAGAAATGCAAAGAGTTTTTAAGAAACAATGAATACATACTGAAGTTGAAGTTTGAATAATTAATCATTGTTTGGGTTTGATCCTCTTTGATGAGAAAATTGTGAGTTTTCAAAAACAAAATTGACCTTAAATATTTATACGGAAGTTTCAAGAATATATTACTGAAAAATAAGAAAGAAAACCTGCTCATAAGAACTTGCAATGAAAAAAGTTAATCAAGATCAATTTAAAATAGTTTTAAAACGTATTGTAAGCTAAACGGATATAACAAATTAAATTTATAATCACTTCGAAGCATTCGTTTCTAGCACTTCGCTATAAACGTGTGTTTACTGTTTAAGTGTCACGCCAGTAAAATGCATTATTCATCGCATCAAATTTTAAAAGATTCTTTCAGTTGCAACATTTTTACTCTCTTTTCATGACCAAAATGATTGTACATGTAAATAGGGCAAATATGGAAATCAAATTAATCTTAAGGAGGAAAAAAAATCACCGAAAAGTTATGCATATAATAATAACTGTCAATTGCATTGTTGTTTGTTTAAATACTATTGGTTCACATAGTGCATCAATGATGCTCCTTTATTCTGCTCATTCTATGTTTTACAAATACTTATTTAATCCACAATTAAAGAGCACTGATTTTGATTTATATTATATATAGATGATAACCTGTACCTTGAAATAAATAGTTATATAATGTCAACATCGTTATATAATACAAAAAATTGAATACATCTTATGAAAACTATTTAAGATTAAATTTCAAGATTTAATCGCAAATAACAATTGACCAAAAACAAAACAAAATACTGTAGACCTGTTTTTTTATTCGCGAGAACTTTATTTTGGCATATTACACGAATACTTCATTTTTTCATATATTTGTAGTACAAAAGATTATATAAACAATAACCAGAGTTCGTGAAAATTATGTCTCGCTTATAAATACCAAATGATCATCTCGTGTAATTAAAGTGTCGCAAAAATTTGGTTATCTACAGTAAACACAAGAAATAAAATGAGAATTTCTTAATTTTCAAAACAAAGCCTAGGAAACTTAATAAAAGAAATTCTATAATAATAATAAGTCTTGGTATACATTGTAAACATTTGTTATCAGAAAACAGAAATCACTACATATACAAAAATAATAATTTCATATTTTTATCTCTGCATACACAATTATATACACAGCTTTGATCATAAAGCAGTTGCACAAACTTATATACAATTATAGGCTGCATTTTGTTTAAGACGTTAATCGATACAATACACCTATAAGATTCCAAACTATTAAGCAATAAAACTGGAAACTTTAAATATTAGTATCCAGTGTACACTTTTATTAGAGGGTTGAGATTTTCCACAAGAACTTCTACATAATAAACTTATTTTGCAGACAAAACATTTACGGGTTGGTCTCTGTTTGACATTGACTTTGCTCAAAAGACCTTTGTTTAAGGTCAAGACACCCAATAGACGTATGCGAATTTTGAGTCAATAATAAACTTTAGCAATCAAATATGAACTGCAATCTCCGAAGAAAGAGTTACGGCGTATGACAAAATATTAGAGTTTTAGAATTACTAGCTAGTGCCTTGACTTTGTCCACATAACTTTGAATCGATATATCAATAAAATGTTCATATTCAAGCATTTTGCTAAGTATGACTTTCTTCCATTTTTACATTACAAAGCTGTGAACCACACTTTTCAATTATTTGGTCTTCTCTGAATGATCTTGGCTAAATTAAATGCTATTCCAGACATAAGCCTACATAATATCTGAAGAACAAATTCGTGACTCAGACTTAATTTTTCAATACGTTGGATTGCCGTGACCTTGAACTTTGACCCTGGGATATTGCAAACTTAAAGATTTTAATCAGTTTTATATCAAAATTGTGAGAGGGCAACATTTTAACACTTTTGATCCTTTGTTTCATTGACCTTCTCTGAACGACATTGCTTGCTATTATGATGGTGCCTCAGACTATTGTCGGTCTTTGATTATAAGCTTATGAAAAGTGAAAACCCGGAAACGAAGTTGGAGAGATAGACATTAGATAGGAGGACAGACACTTGAATAAACAAACTGACCCAAACCCTATTACATGAGATCTATTATAAAAGAATATTTTATTTTGCATCACATGGAAATCATTTAGATGCCGTTATCAAAATTATTATAACAAGAAAATCCTTTTCTCAATATTTAATGTTAGTTAACAAATTCTAGAAAAGATTCCAAGATTCTAATAATAGATATGCATTGAGTTATTATAAATCTTATGAATAAAATATCCCTTTTATTTCCTGCATTGATGAGTAGCCTGTGGGGAACCTCAGGGTATCAGCACAGCCAATCAATAGACAGTATATTATTTTGTGTTTGTGCCTCGTGGAGAAACAGCGCACTGATTTTGAAAGGAAGTAATGTTGCGTTTTGGGTTTTCTTTTTAAGTGCTCGCATTAAGGTAAGGTATCTGTTCTATATTTTCAGTAGAATTTAAATGTTTGATCTTTTTTCTCTTAGCGGTTGTCTTTTTACAATAATATTGTGATAGTATTACTGCATGTACATAGTATTTTTCGGAAGCAAGACAACCACGACAAAAATTTCGTTCTTTTCAAGAAGGAACTTATGCTTCTTCTTTAAAAATATATACAATTTTGATTAAAAGACAGCATTTCTCACATTTTGGGACAAAGGAAAGAAATGTAATCTATACATAGATTTCGTCCATTAATGATGCACGTCTATATCTTAAGATTCATCCTTCTCTTGCATTGAATTTTTACCATCTTATTCATTTCACTATAATTATCGATATTCAGTTGGATGTGGAGAAATTATCATCGTGATATTTTTTTCTATTGCGTCAAATGTCAAGACCCCTCTCTCCATAGATACTAGTAGTGTTTTTTTTTTAAATCTTAGCACAAAACAGTCCTGCTTTTTTGACAATTCATTAGCCTTCCACTTTTCTTTGAATAATGTTTTTGTATAAACATTTGTATATTTGTCAAAGATATAGATACATTAACATACTCTAGCTTTGATTTTGATCAACTTAGACTACTGATATGTTACACTTTTTTTCTAACTTGCAACTTAAAAATAGCATTTATATGTAGGGCTGCGCAATAATATCGATATTCCGGTATATTGTGATTCATTAACAAAAATATCGTATTGCGATACGTTTTTCCAGTACTGATATACCGGCAAACTGTTTGGGCTTTAGATTTCTTAGGTAAAATATGATATTTAATATGTCAGAAGCGTTTTCAATCGTGCCAAACAGTACCAAATGATAAGGTTGCTGTTGTATGGTTGCATTTCGTTCCAAACTGTAGTGAAATCAACAACAAAAAATTGTGACAATGTATCTATAATAGTTTTACACACGTTGCTTATAGATGGAGGTTAATACGATTAGAAAAAGAGCATTTTAAATGTCATTGAAAATATTGCAATACATGTCGCAATACAGTTAAAAATATCGCAATATATCGCAATACGAAATTACCCTGCCCTATTCATATGAAGGGTCAAGAAATGATTGAGGAGTAAATTTAGAATATATATAATAGATATATGCATACATTGTTTTAAAATCAGAAAAATACTACACATTGGGTGCGTAATTTTCAGATTTTCAATTAACTGTCTCATGTTGATATTTTCTTGAAGCACAATAATTAAAGATAACTAAAAATTTTTATGTAAATTAAGAAATAATGATTATCTTATTCAAACAAATAAGGGGGGAAAAAATTAAAATCAATTTTGAAATATCTACCTGTCTGGGATGTTAATTCATAATTAAGTTGCTAAAAGTTTGATTTGAACATAGAATGATGTAAAGGTGAGAGATGTTGAGTATCTTATTAAAAAATACAGTAAATTGTGTTTTATAAGACAGATTTCTGTAAGAAATTTCTGTAAGAATGTAATTGATTGAAATGTTTAAGTCGTTATTGAATGTGATAGCTAATGGTTTATTTGAGGGAAACAGTCTTTCTGAGTTTCCATACATTTCTTAAACGGAACTACACAAAACTCTCTTCCTTTTATGTACAATATGATGAAGTTACAAGGCTTGAGATTTTTGTCTCTAAAATCTTTATTGCGCTAGAATAGTTCTCTTTTAAACAGTCGTGTTTATGAAATTCTTTCAATTTGTATAATTTTTATTGTTAGCATTGTTAAAGTTGTACTTGTACTTTACCAAAAAAGGAAAAAAGAGATACCAATCGTCAATTTTAATATCATTACATATTCTTAAGGATGGGATAAGAAAAACAAGGAAAGCAGTCTTTTAAAAGTTGAATTTAACTAGAAAGTCTTTTTGCGGGTTAAGCAATATTCATAAGTGTATTTATTGAAGGTGATAAGATGCTTTACTTGGGAATACATTTATAGATTAAACATATTTTAATTGCAATTAACATAACTGGGTCACTTAAGAACCATACACTTACCAGACAGAATGGAAATTAAGCTAAATACTGGGACGACAATGCGACTTGTTCTTTTTATACATTAATTTTTTGTTTTGTTTTGTTTTGTTTTTGTTTAAAGGTTCAAAGAAAATGTAAACAGCGGAGACACATAGAAAATGCACAAGATCCTATGGTATTCCATATTAATTAACGTTATTCTGTTTTGATTAGATCAAGGTATTCAAGATATTCAAATTGTTTCTTGTCTTATTGAATATGCAAATAACTTGTTAATTTCCCTGTTCCTATTAGCATAATATATTCTTCTCGTGGCGTTGAATGTGATCACAGCATGAAATTCTATACTTTGCATGTTGTTTTTTATCAAACAAAGCAAACAACCTACATTTTTCAGGCATGAGCTTGAAGTCTTAATTTTTAAACAAACTTCACGGAGATTGATCACTCGATCGTTTAAAATGTGTTCTCCTTTGACGTACAATCTACTTGATGTAATCACATAAATCAATTTTACCATATTCTGAATGATTTTGGAAGACAGCAAACAAGGAGAGGGTGTGCATAGGCTTTGCCTGTTGCCCAATCCTTATTGAATTACTCAATAAAATATGTTTAAAGTGCAGCAAACATCTCAAGTATAATCATGGAATAATCAAGCAAGAATTATTCCAAATTTTGATATATGTAATTGAAGAAAAGATTATATGTTTTGTGATCACCCTAGCAAAAATGATACATGTTAAACTTTTGCTGTAATATAGTTCATCAAAGTAACACAGTTTTTTCTACAATAAATCAAAGTTTCGAAGTTTTCTACTAAAGCAAATAATTTTTTACACTATAATATTTCTGTATTTTTACTAAAACATGCCAATTATTAGATTTCTTTCATTTCAATTCTCAAAAAAGTTTGACAATACCTGGAGTGTGAAAGAACGATTAGGGGTGAGTATATTTTTAATTCCTCTGTGATATGAAAACAAATCATTAAAATTGCATTAATTAATTTTTAATCACTCTTTCCAAATTACATTTTCTTTATGGATTTTTTTCATTGTTAGTCTGAGTCTCCCTTCTGAGATTGCCATCTTTGACTGGCCAACATCTCTCTCCGCTTCACTATTTCCTCGTCCTCAAAGAGCCGACCTTTCCCGTAAGTAAATCCTTCCTCTTTTCTGCAGGCTTCAAAATATGTTTTTATTAGATGTAAACAAACATTTATATTCTACGTCTTAACTGAAAAATCTACGTCTAAACATAAAATGGCCTAACAATTTGTATGAAAAACGTCAGCCAACATTCGTCATAATGCAATTTGTATACCCAGCGAAGGTCATTATTTCATCCAAAAAATGTGGAAAATTTTGATTTGAAATGAAATTGATGATATACTTTGTTCATCAATTTGTTTTGTTAATAGCTGATTCGTAGTAGAAATTGTTCGTACGTAGAACATTTTCTTGCGTATCGAATCAACTGTGAGACAGAAACTCTACCTGCAGTTGCTAATTATATATTGCAACATAAGTAAGAGAAGTTGAAAAAAGAAAAGTTAAAGACAACACATTTATTACGAAGTTTAGTTGTCAGTTTGTTATTTTAATGCTTATCATGTATATTTCAGTATTTGAATAATAAATTGAATTTTATCCCTTTCTTCTAATTTTTGAGATTCTCGTAGACTTTTTGAGCATAAAAATGAATTAGAATATTTAAGACTCATAATATATATGTTAGGAAACATCACATTTCTGGTTATGTTCAATATTTGTTGGTTTTGAATTGATACGATATAGGCATGTCTTACAAAAGCAGAGATTCTTTATTATTAAATATCAGTTTTAATACTTTCAATATTCCTAATATTCTTTGAAGCCCATTAAAAGGAGGATAACAGATACAAAATGGGTAATTTAGCTGCAGAACTGTAGCTCTTCAAAAAAAAAAACTACATTGTCATCCCCCCCCCCAAAAAAAAAATTATTGTGCACAAAAATGTGCTCTCTTCTGAATTTTTAACGCCAAATTCTTATCTCAACTGCAAAAAAGCTCAATTTCAACTCTGGCATTACATGAAATTTTTGATTATCTAATTTCAGGTCCAAGATAAGGAGAGCTATTTACAACGGCGACTGGGATTGTTGTGTTGTGGAAATAGTAATAGAATGTGTTAGGAATACAAGGTTGGTCCTTTTTTAGAATGCAGTCTAAATATTCGAAGAAATAGGCCGTAAAACACATTTCTATGCGAAATAAATATACACTTTTTACAATAAATGTTCTACCTAGCCTTTTTTAAAACTCTTTACGAAAATATTAAGAGCAGTAAAGAAGAAACTTCAGGAGGACTGTAAAACATTTTATTCAAGAATTTAGTAAAAATAACGAACAGTGATCGATATCATAAATGTAGTAAACAAAACGATTTAGAAGAAAACATTCGGACTAATGGAAACACAGGATCAGACCCCAAGGAGTAGTAAACATTCCCTGTCGACCTGCCAACCCGCCGTGAACCCTAAGTATTGATCGGTGGACGAAGTACTCTGTGGCCAAATTAAGTACAAAAAGAATGGCCTAAAGATTCGCATGGAACATACTACTCTAAATACGACCCAACTATAGGTTATATTTACAGACAAGGCCATTATAACGACCCAAAAACTTCCGAAAAGCTGACATTAAGCAGGTTTGATGAAATCATTGTAACATCAACTTATTTGTCAGTATACTGCCTTGGTTCAAATGTTGATCGTTCTCAAAGCATTTTTGTGTATCGAATCAGTGGGAGAAAAATCAAAATAAACAGGTGATGTTGGTACATTACTATATATATAAGGAGAGTTGGTAATGGAAAAGCTGACGTCGCACCGTTTGGCCATTATACTTGATTGTCAGTTAAATATTTGAATATTTATCAGATGTAGCAGACTCTGTAGTGTCTTTCATTTCGAATTCACTGGGATATATCAAGCCAATATAAGAATGAAAGTAGCTATTGTTAATTGATAAAACGTCGTCGATATATATGTATCTGAATGTTGAGTTGAAGGCAACAACAAGAGTTTTCTTCTTCTCATGTAAAAGTTTTTAAATTAATTCTTCTGCTTCATAGGAATTTAAATGTAGGTTTGCTGATAAAGGAACACAATTAGTGCCCATCGAAATTTCAATAGATTGTTGGAGGACCTGGTCTCTAAAGACTACATATATATTGTCAATGAGGATCTCCAGCATCTTTTTGTCATCTTCAGAGTAGAATCAGATTGATTTTACAGAAAGTAATTAATATGTAGATTACTAATTACAAGATAGGATAATTTACGAATTCCATTTTTATTGAGATAGATATTGTCTCTGATGTCAAAAAGCCTGCTCTTTAATTTATCGTGACGAATTGTCGTATAAAGCATTTAAAAATTATATGCTTTGACATTTTTAATGTTTCAAAGTTTTGCTTTTTATTTTTTTTTCAAAAATCTTTGAAATTCTTAAAAATCCAAATTTGATTTATACCACTTCTTAAATGTGTAGTACAATACGTCTGAAGTTTCTCTTTCACAGTAGTTACTAACTTTGTGTTTTAAAAAGTTGAAAACACATAAAATTACCAAAATCAATATCAGAACGTATATTTTTCATCACTTTACACAACCATTCCCCACGATAATTTTGGCATCATAAACAATTGCTTCGTCTATCTTTTCATGGGTCATTAACAAAATGTTTTCTTTAAAATATTCTAATTCTACACACATGCATTCCAAGATTGATATAAAGATATCCCCAAACCCCCAAAATAAGTCCTGAATAATAAACTTTTCTTGTCCTTGAAGAAATATCTCCCTTTGTTTTAACCAATAAACACCCATTGAAATAAAATAGAATTTCTGAAAAAAATTGTTTTCAATCCTTATTCTATTCCCAATGATTAACAACTTCTCTCCACTACAGCATATTTGATATTCTTAGCATTCGAATTTTTACTTTTTAAAAATCCGTTTCTCCATTAAAACATCGATCAGTACAGTCTTCCTTGATTAATTATTGCTTAGTACATAATATTAAAAAAAAATTCTTGGCAAATCCTTTCCTACTACTCTAATATGCTTTGAATTGATATTAGTTTATTTTATATGTGATGGATGTCATAATATAGAATTAGATCTTATAAGGGATGGAATATTTGAAAAAGAATTACTCATTGGCAATATATAGTAATTGTTGGAGACAAGATCTTTCATTGATCAGTTGGAAATCCCATGGGTACTAATTTTGCCCCATCATGAGCAGATCTTTGTTTTTATTCTTATGAAGTAGTATATATTCATAAACTTCTACATGAAAGGAATCTTTTACTGTGGCATACAATTCGACATTTACATACTCCGAAGAACAAACAAAACAAAAAAAACCTAAAACAACAGAGTCTTACATATCTGTCTCAATCAATGACATTGTTTTGAAAATATAATAATACAACAAAAATGCCAGGAACGAACATGTTTGTTTCGTCATAAACATAACTCATTATCATAAGTCATGGTCTCTGAAGACGACATAAATATTGTGAATAAGATTAATTTCACATTATTTTCTAAGTATGTATATCAAGAATGCTATCTTTTTTAAGAGAAGAAAATTCATAAGAGCACAAAGTCTTTATTTCTCTTATCTTGTGCATGGCTGTTTAGGGTGTGGATACATTTATGTTTTGATTTGCCTGATTCTAATTTAATAGAACAGTTATAGCTGCAGATCTGTTGCTCGTTGATCTAAAAATATTGGGAAGGTCCAACAGAGAGCTACAGTGCCAATCAGAACCGGGTTTTTAACTTTAAGAGGGTTTTTATTAGTTTTGAAATCTTTTACAGGTAAAAATCAAATTCATATCGGTTGGTTTGAATACTGGAAATATTTAAAACTTGTATGTAGTTTTGAAGTTTTCCATTTTTTGAAAGGGAACTATGAGTTCAAGTTTGATTACAAATTGTAGAATTAAAGTTCTCCTAAGATACATTCGTTATAATGATCCCTACTGATGAATACTATGTTGTTACCTCTTTGCCAGCTGGGACCAGAACATAATGTTTCATTTTAAATATAACATAATCAATCTAATTCTTTGGTAATTTCTGAATAATCAAAACAGAGGAAAAGATGGTCTTCTATTGTCCCTCAACCGTTTAGTACAAAAATTCAAAGACCACCTTATAATTTTAATATATTACACAAAGTGTCAAGGTCTTTTTAATATCTGACGTATGGCTTGGCATAATCTTTGCAGAATTCATAAAATTTATGAAATTTTGTCACAAATTGAAGGATCAGAATTTTTCAAACATAGGTCCTTTTTTTTTTTTTTTTTTTTTTTTTTTTTTTTTTTTTTTTAAAAAAAAGGTTTTTAAGATATTATTTTCGTAATGACGTGTCGAGGAGGACTATAGAAATATAGCTAGAATAACAGAACACGCAAGATCTAGAAGATTTGAGGTTTTCGTTTCAGATATTCGATATCTAGGCACTGTAGAGTTTTTTAATGGAAAAAAAATTGAAAGAAAAGTCGATGAATACCTTGTAAGAAATACAAGGTGAACCCCTTTTTTACTGGAATATATGGAGATAACGAACAGTATTCAAGCTCAGAAGTCCATCAAACTGGGCGACGCGTAGGCAAATATATTTCCGTTATTCTTTGGGCTACTCATGATTGAATATTCAGTAATGAAATTCAATCAAGAGTAGCACAAAAAAAAAATAAAAATAAAAAAAAAATTAAAAAAAAAAACGAATAAGTAAAATATATAAAACAGGGAGGAAAAGTATTAACTTTATGCTTTCTGCCTCAGAAGCTTATGGGCGGACCAAAGCCATTAAAATTCACGAAATCTTATAAATTCTTCATTTTTACTCCTGCACTTCAATCAATAAAAACGATTAGCATAAATTATTCGGATTAATTAAGATTCTGGATTATGGTATATATATTTAAATTATTCTTCACAAATTTCGTCCCAAAGGAGAAGTGTCCTGATTATTGGCGTCCGTATTAACGCGGCCCCATGTACTCATGTGATCAGCAAGGACCATGCTCTTTCTTGTGAATATTCTCTTAGAAAGATTTTTTATTTTTGTTTTAATAAAAAACTAAATCAAGATGTTGCTGGATTTTCAAATGCTTGAACGGGGAAGTGATGTATTTATAAGCGAGGAACTATGAAAGGAAATTGAGAAATTAACTAATCTGTACCGTTATTCATATACATGTACTGTGAAAAAAGATTATATGATAAGTACCACGAATGTTTCCACTTTTCTAATCTAACTTTTCGAATTATTATATTCTATGTCAATTAAGTGTGATAATTTGTGTATTTCGTGGTTAAAATTTTACTATCTGTGAAATTTGAAGAAAACAAACAATAATCATGCTTTAAAAATACATAACCACAATACAAATTGTGAGCAGAACCAACGGGGACCTCTGAATACAGAGGTGGGATCAGGTGCCATTGAGAAGTTAGCATACCCTGTCGACAGGTCACAACCGCCGTGTGCTCCTTTCATGATCGGTTAAACGCAAAAATCAGTAGACAATTCATTGTAAAAATGAAAGCCTATCAATTTGTATGAAAAACGTCATTCAACGTTCGACCTATTGATCGACAATAGAATTTGCGATATGCTTATAACAGATTACCATTGTCTTCAAAGGATCAACTAATTTGTCAACAGCCTGCCTCATTTTAGAAAATGTTCGAAGGTAGAACATGGTCTTGCATATTAAAGCAAATGGAATACATTAACTCCACATTCAAGTCATAATATTATATTGTTAAAATATAAGGGATTTTGACGATAAAAAAGTTGGTCATCACATTCATAATAGATTTAGTTGCTAGTTGGCCAACAATATAATTTTCTAGTAAAATATCAACATACGCAGGTAGAGTTAAAGCTTTCGATAGAATATTACAATGCATCATGTGCCTTTACTTCTCTAAACTAGTAATATATGATATCAAATCACTGCAAACTTGAGCTGTTAAGACTGGGGGAGTATATATAAAACTGTATACCTTATTTAAAACTGCATGTAAAATGTCAGAACGCTATTTCTAAATTCAACTGTCTTTATTGCGGTTTTAAATCTTATATACCAGAATATTTTTAAATCGTTCGC